AAGGCTAAATATTTCAAAAAGCTAAAGTTGCGCCAATACCAAAAGTCACAGCACCCTTGTCCTGAACGAGCGTAACGTTTTGATATAGGAGTTGTTGAAATAGCACAAAAGTTGTGGAACGAGAAAGATGCTGAAAAACGTACAGAAGAAAAATGGATCACGATAGAGTTCACGCTTCATGAACAACTAGGGAGCTACGTAGCTTTGTGTCATCTGTTCAAGCTTTATGTGACAACTACATGGACCTCATGAAGCTCAAAGATCATGTAAACTCTGGTCTCCTTTTTCTACTTCCTATGGAGGTTATGAACCTAAATCACTGTCAAAACGCTCAACAACACTGCAGCTGTGGGGCTGGGAGTGTAACAAGTGAACTTCATGATCAATTAAAGGGGCTGGTCTGGACGGATAACCATTTAACCTACAATTTGTCTTAAGTTGTAAAATAGCTTGGTTTTTTTTAATAAAACTAACTTGATTCACATTCTGAGCCTTGATTCTTGATGGTATTATAAATTGCAGCAGTTTATTTAGTTAATTTTTCTTTACTGTGGAAGAGTTAGTAAAAAAATTTTTAAAAAAAAAGGTTACATTAAGTTCTTGTTGTTTCCATTTTGTCTGTTTTTGGGCTTTCAAGCAGTTCCGTCTATGATCAAACCCTGAGCATTTTTACCACCATGACCTTGCTTGCTTAACATAAAAAGCTGTTTCAAATAGGACAACTGTTATGTTTTCACTTTTACATTAGGTGCTCATTTAGACTGGTAATGAAAATGTTGTTGCTAAGTGGTACCTTGGTGGTCAGGGCCACGGTCTTATAATTAATTCTGAGGCTGCAGGTTCAAGCTCAGGTTACATCAAGAGGAGTTCCTGGCATAAAACAATTGCAAATACTTTTGTGCCACTTCACACCCTAAAGAAGGAAGTAGCCCCCCAAAAAATGTTGCTCATAGATTTTGAGACTATTGTTAATTTTGAATGCTTTAAATGTGAAGTTGAACAGCTTAAAGTCCAAGAAACATTGTTTAGTTGCCAGAAAAACCTAAAAGTCTATGTTAACGTAAACTTTTGATCGTGCGTGACACTTGGTGTGTAATATCCAACACTAAAATCTCTTTTTTATTACCTATTAGGCATTTATAATGTTTATTTTATATTAAATAAACAGGTGAAACAGCAAGACTTGCTTAGTTTCTTGAATCTTGTTTTGAAATGCCAACATAGTCCTTGTTTCCATTGTTGACTTTGACCCATAACAGACAGACAAAAGATAAATCAGCTTTTGGGGAATTCAGTGTCATTATTCTTCATCATATGAGCTCACTTTAGAGCTGGAGACTTCATGATCGCTGCTTTATTGACCAATGAAGTTCTATTTTATCTTATTCAGAGATGGCCGCTGCGTTAAACCGGTGGCAACATCAACGCTTGAGTTTGGAGAAGAGGAAGAACTGCAACTTTCACCACATGCTCAGCGGTCCTGTATTTGGTTTGTTTGTTCTTACTGTTCCTCAGATTTTTTTTAAATTACCGTATTTTCCGCCATACACGTCGCATCAGTCCAAATATGTCTAATAAAGTAGAAAAATCCATAAATAGGTCCTTTCGTCGTACACGTCACATCTATTATGCATCACCGCTGATGCGTCGCGTTTGTTACACGTCACCGCTGACAAGCCGGAAATGTGGGCCGGTGTTGTGACAAAAATCGATGGGCTGCCAAATGGTGGCCGCAGGAGGACTTTAACAAGATTAACGCTTAAAAACAATTATTTTTTTGCTCGAAATTATAGTAAAGGTGTGTCTCAGTTTAACTTTTCCTTAATAAATGCAGTTTGACGGTCAAATCAGCTGCTTTTTCTAAACCCGATACGCAGGAATATGAACGCGCAGAGGGCGACTCGCTGTGCATTTCGTCAAAATTTTAAAAAGATAAACACCGAAAAATAATTATTTGTTTGCTCCACTTTATAGTAAAAGGTGCGTCTCAGTTGAAAAATTTACTTAATAAATGCACTTCGACGATCAAATCGGCTGCATTTCGCCGTGGCGGCGCAACGTAATGAAGCTGATTCGGTTTCTCCATCCAGGCAGACTACGGTGGCATTGTGTCATTAATAGCCACTTTTACCTATTACATGATACAACGGCATGCCTTACTACTCTAGTGCCATCTAGTGGCTGAAAATGGTAGTGTTCATTTTTTTCAGTCAGGTTGAATGAAAACGGTCATATCTCATCCAAAAATTGATTTATAAATATTCAATTCAATTCAATTCAATTCAAAAATACTTTATTAATCCCAGAGGGAAATTATTTGTTGTTGTAACTTGTTATCCTCATTTCATTAAGAGATGTTATAGATGCTGATGGCTGTAAATAGGAAGGATCTCTTGTAAAGGTCCATCCCACAGTGGATCCTAAGACACTGGCTGCAGATGCCGTCCGATCCGTCCACCCAGACTCGACTGGCCTCTCGGTTCCCCCGGGCTGTAGGACCGCCCGAATGCCGGGCTGAACTCCTCCCAGAGCGATGGCCACTCCTCCCAGCAGTCTGCCGAGCTCCTCGTCGCTGCGGACAGCCAACTGTAGGTGCCGAGGGACGATCCTGTCCTTCTGCTGTCATGAGCCGTGTTTCCTGCTAGTTCCAGGATCTCAGTGGTCAGGCACTCGAGTACAGCTGGCTGGTAGATGAGAATGCGTCCACAGAACATCCTTTTCAACTCATTTGAGATTTGGGGCTGTAGCTGAGATATTATTTGAGCTTTTGAGATGTTATTCAGCTGCTGTTGGTTGTAGAAAACTGCCTTGTTGCCATGGTTATGCATCATAACAAATGTCCAAAACTAAAAAAGTTTCAGTAAAAATCCTTCCTGCTGCACAACATCTGTTACCAGAGGAAACAATCATCCAAAAAATGTGATTTACATCCAGCAAAAGAAGAATTAAAGTTTCCAAAAGCAAAATCTCAGAATGAAAGTAACAGAGCTGCTCCAACATGCAGCCACCTTGAGCGGCGCAATTCTAGAACTCGAATTCCCATATTTCTAGAATTCTAGAAATATGGGAATCTATTTCTAGAATTCTAGAAATATGGGAGGGAAATCCATAAATACATCGCTTCAGCCTATAAATCACAGTTCATGCAAATTATGCAAAAAACTGTGACTTATAGGCTGAAAAATACGGTAATGTTATTATTGTGATCTACAGCCCCACATACACTTTCAATATAAAAATGTGTAAAAAGTCTTTAGGCTTCTTCAACAACAAACAGCCTTTGAATATATATTGTTTCCGATTATAAATTCTTAAAATTTTCTTTTTAATTTAATTTATTTATTTTTTATGATAAACACATTTCTTTTTTGACATACTGAACTACTATACAGCCAGCTCAGGCCAGAATGTTACTTGAGCCATGTTTTGATGAACAGCTTGGTGCCTGTGAGTAAAAAGGCCAGACATTGGAAAGTGACACCGATATGAGGGTGCATAATGTGCACACCTGTACAAATACTGGGATGACACAGAGCCTAATTCTAAGTGGGTCTTGTTTACTTTAGTATGACATGTAAAAGAACAGTATATTAAATGTGTCTGGTGCTAGATTATCCTTCCTGCAGTCTTGCCTTGTCATTTAGGCCGTGCACCATTGAGACTCCATATCAAACAAGAATGGAAGAACTCATTTGGCTTTCTTATGTTTCTCAGAGTGTATTCTTAAAGTAGACAGAAAACACCAGCAAATATTTCTGTGACCCATATTTTTGGAAAATGTTTGCTGCTGTCAAAACAAAAAGGAACCTAAATTCTCCAAACACAACTAACATTTTCAAAGGTTTCCTTTCTGTTCAATGCACGACTCAATTAAGCTGCAAAGAATTCCCATTCTTCTGTTTCAGTTGACATGTTGTGCAGCTTCCCATCTATTTCTAACACCCGGTTGTGTTTAGAGGACTTTTATATGCATCTTCGTATCAAGTCTTGTGTCTACATGTGGAACAACTTGAGATGTACCGTATTTTACGCCGTACACGTCGCACCGCCCTATAAGTCGCATCAGTCCAAATATGTCTAATACAGTGGAAAAATCCATAAATACGTTGCTTCACCGTATAAATCGCATCTATTATGCGTCACCACTGACGTGTCATGTTTGTTACACATCAGCGCTGACAACCCGGAAATGTGGGCCGGTGTTGTGCCAAAAATCGATTGGATGCCAAATGGCGGCCGCGGGAGTGTGCACGGGAGGACTTTAACAAGAATTTAACAAGATTAACACTGAAAAACAATTATTTGTTTGCTCGAAATCATAGCAAAGATGTGCGTCAGTCTAACTTTTCCTTAATAAATGCAGTTTGACGGTCAAATCAGCTGCACTTTCAAAAGCCGATAGGCGGAAACGGGAACACGCAGAGGGCGATTTGCGGTGAATTTTTTTGAACTTTAACAAGATAACTACGTAAAAACAATTATTTGTTAGCTCGAGTTTATAGTAAAGGTGTGTCTCAGTTTAACTTTTACTTAATAAAAGGACTAACGGTCAAATCAGCAGCATTTCGCCAGGGCGGCACAGCGAAATGCTGCTGATTTGACGGTTGCTCCAGGTGAGCTGGACGGAGGTGGCAGGCTATGGTAAGCTGATTGTGTCATTAATAGACACTTTCACCTATTACATGACACAACGGCATGCCATACAAATCGAGCCAGCTAGCGGCTGAAAATGGTAGTGTTTGATATTTTCAGTCAGAATTAATGAAAACGGTCATACCTCAGCCAAAAATTGGTTTATAAATATGGGGAATAAAACATCAATATGTTGCTTTGGCGTATAAGTTGTAGGGCATGTAAATTATGCAAAAAAAAAAAAAAAAGCGACTTATAGGCTGAAAAATACGGTACTTACAATGTGCGACGCTGTATGTTCAAGTCACACCATGCATGGTTTAATTTAAACTGTTAGAGCAGCTGTTTCATTGTTCTTAGAGTATTACCTCTTATTATTGTGGCAGCCTCTCAGTGCTTCCATTAAGATGACCTCCTTCGTAGTCCAGCTGGCACAGGATCATATTGTTCTTGAGGAAAAACTTGTCTCCCACACAAAATCTGCAGAGGGAAACAAAACTATGAAACGTCTCAGTTCTCCCTGAACCTGAGGTGAATCCTGAGGTCCCACGGGAGTGTAGCAGGCATCTTGCACACAGCATACATTTACTGCTGTGATAATCAGAAAATTGTTTTGCATACCTGTAACCTGATTAACTATTCAAGTGGTATACAAAGTCTTTAACCTTTGGAACTTTAATCACATTTTGATTACAATGCACAAGTAAAACGCTCATAATGACCCGTGAGCTACACCTTCTAGATACGTCAACTGAATTTGATCTCCCCGGCTAATTGCTCCCCTAATCTTACCTCTGGCAGCAGAGCTGACAGGCAAAGCAGTCTAAATGGTAGACCTTATCTCTGGCTCTCATCACCATCTCAAAGGCAGGGATCAGCTTACTGCAGGCTGCACAGTTCCCCGTCGCCCCAAAGAGCCTGCAGAAGCAGAGAGGGTAACAGGCAATGTAAACTGGATGCACACACAGATACGTATCAGCCAGGCACTGCAGTAAGAAAATAAAAGCAGATGTTTGTTTTTTTAAAAGTTGCTTGTCTTCCTCAGAGAGCAGCAAAAAATGCTGCTCACGCATCATTTCTAAATATTAAGTGTTTTATTGATCTGCTCTGCCTTTCCTACAGGTTCCTCTCCAGCGTTTCTGTAAACGCAAAGCCCACATAGTCTCATCTGTGTTTGCAGCCAAGTGTGAAAAAGGATTCACAACCTAATTATAATTATGGGCACATGAGAGGATGAGCTTCTCATAATAGGAATTGAAGACGTGTCATCAAGAAAAGGCTGCAAACCATTAAGTTTATTATCCACAAGTTTTACTATCGTCAATGACGAGAATTTAAAAGATGGAAATGGTGAAAAATCTAACGCTGGAAGCAAATAATGGTTAATGAGTTTACATTCTGATTGACTAAAATGATTCAGTTCTACAGTACAGTGCAGTCAAGTGTCAAGTAGTCTGTTACAACTTCTTTCTTTTGTAACCATTAAAATACTGTTAACTATACTGTGGCGTTCAAGAAAACCTTTGTGATTTTACTCTTTAACTGCTGCTCAGAAAAAAAAAAAAATATATATATATATATATATATGGGATTTATAATATAGACTATGAATGGAGCTGTAAATTGCATGTGGTTTGGACCACTTTATCAGCTACAGGTGCCAGAACTAAAGTAATTTGAGAGAAACTGCAAGAATTTTGATGTACCAGTAAATGCCATTTAGTTTAAGATGAAAGAAAGCCAATCCATTGACCTTATTTTTAGAAACAAACGCCCGAACCTCCTGCTAATCAAATCTATGTGGTTTTAAACACGTCTTTCCGTCCAGCTGCAGATGGTTTCACCTCTCATTCACCTCCACCATAATGAACAAGCAGCCCCCTCGGAGCCTAACACACGAAGAAAAGTGTCCAAGACTGATTTCCATTTTCCATTAGGGTCCAAATAAGAAAAGAGGGACTGGGACAAAATGATTTTGGAGAATGAGAACTACATCTGTGGAGTGTGAGAGAAAAGCATGAAGAATGTGTATCCCACTGCCTCAACCAACAAACAAAAAACGTCATCAAATGAGTGACTAACATGGGAACAAAAGCATGCCCTAATTACCAGAATGTTCTGATCTAACGAGCATGAGTCCTCCATAGGCACCTGGTGGGTTTTTCCTGCTCCTTAACGAGGCTACGAAGCTCAATGCTAATTCTCCACTAATGGTCCAATTAAAAGAAATCACATGGTTTTAATCCCACTCTTCAAAGGCTTTTGGTCTGCACCCTCGCAATGATGAGGAAAACAGGAGGCAATCTAGCCAATTTAACTGTCAAAAGGGGTTTTGGTCTCCTAAGTGCAGCGCAGCTAATGAGCGACTTAGCTCCAACAAAATCCAGCTGGATTGTACATGAGACTAACACATGAGCTCAGTAATGTGGCTGAGGACTCAGTTTTCCTACAGTTCTGAGATCTACATAACAATGTCTGCATTGTTATTTCAGACAGTAAAATTTTAGATGTAACTTTTAAAACAGCCGCACTGACAACGACTAACCTAGCATCAACAAAATACACGAATACTGTCCAAAGCTAGCAAAATGCTTATACTTCCAACCATAAACTTCATGGCATTATTTCCTTCTTTTTTGCACCAGGTATTAGTGTTTGTGAACTTTGCTGCATTTCATTTAACTCAGATTGGGAAATTGTGTCGCAGGTCAGAAAATGTGTAACATTTGCTAATTGTGGTGTTCAGTAACAAGGCTAACTATCATTAGCAATGCAAGCCAATGCCTTTTTTCATACTTTACACATTGAAACACCGAAGCAATATATTTCTTCTAACTAGTATTTCAAAACTATGTGATCATGTCCTGTGAAGTACGTGAACTATGTCCTGCTGCATGCTCAATCATCCAGGGAAATGAATCCAAAAAAGTTAAGGTAGGTCATTTGGACAGATCCTTCTTGGTTGAAACGTTTCGTCTTTCATTCATCCAAAGGACTTCATCAGTCCGAGGAGCCACAACACACAAGGAGTCCCACAAGCAGCACACCCCCAGAATGGGCCAACCAGTTTGCTGGTGATAAGATGGTTTCTGGGGCCCGCACTCTCCTTCGTCGACTCCTCTGAGGCAGCCATGGGCAAAGTGGTTCAAAGCATGAACTTTGACTATGGCTGCCTCAGAGGAGTCGATGGGGGAGAGGGTGGGCCCCAGAAACCATCTTATCACCAGCAAACTGGTTGGACCATTATGTGGGTGTGCTGCTTGTGGGACTCAGTTTGTTGTGGCTTCTCGGACTGATGAAGTCCTTTGGATGAAGGGCAAAACATCTCAACAAAAATAACGAAACAGTCCAGATGACCTGACTGAATTTTGTTGGATTTTTAACCTGGATTACAATACATTGTTAACGCCCTGATGGCCGCTTGCTATTCACAGAACTTGGCCAAAGTGGTTAAAAATGTCCTGATTCATGCTCACTCTTCCAGGTAGGGCTGGGCGATATCTCCATATTTTAAAACATCGAGATAATTTAATTTGCGATATGAGACTATATCGATATAAACAATATAGTGTTATACTTGAAAATCTGCCTGCTGTCTTCTCCTTCTCCCACGCGACCCCTCCTCTCCCTTTCAGCCCAGCCCCTCACCCACTACCCCCGTTTCCTGCTTCTCCAGGTGGGGCAGCACCGCCGACACGTAGCAGCCACAATTAGTCACAAAATGGAGAGAGAGCATATTGCAGAGCAGCTGGTGAGCAGGAGAAAAAAATGATGGCTCTGTTATTTGGAGATGGTTCGGATTTAATTTTGTCAGATGTGCAGCAGAAACATGTTTTCTGTAGACAATGACGAAAACAAGTCCCGATGAAAATGTTCGAGCACAACGAGCCTTTTTCACCATTTATAACGGCGCCATAAAGTGGAGTATGAAGAGCGTGTTGAACTTCATGCCTGAAACAAACTACGGTACAAAACCTGTGCTGTGACGTACGAGAGGAACATGGCTAGCATAGCTGGGGAGGATTATTATTTAATATATGTAAATAGTTTATTTTTTAGACATTTATTTTGTACAGTTACAGCTGTTTGTTAATAAATGTGCCTGTGTGACAATTGGGACAAAGCTTCGACTCAGAAATGTATTTTTGTTATTACTTTATGGAAAGAAAAAAATATTAAGATATCGCGATTTATCTTAAAATATTGAGATTTTAATGTTGGTCCATATCATCCAGCCCCACTTCCAGGTAAATAAATCCAAAAAGTTAAGTCAGGTCATCTGGACAGGTTTATTTAGATACAAACAGGTTGATTTCTGAAGCTATCACAGCTGTTGATGTGCAGGGCAGCCATATTAGATTCTGAAACTGGGATTAGTCCGAAATTTCTAACTTTCCAATTCATAATTTTGACCGAGGCTGAATTGTTCTGGGAGCTGGTGGAAGTAGGACGGTATTGGACTGCTCTTAGCTGCTGAACGAGATTTAGACAATCCCAAAAAGACTCCTTTTAGTCAAGATAGGAGCTTCTTTTTAGTTTCAGAATTTCGGCCAAGACAAATCTATAAATTGGGACAGCTTTTTCAGCAAGGGGCAAGCCTTCTCCAGGGACCTGGAGTTAGGGTTTCACCTGCCTTCCTCTCAAAGAATTCTTCAGAGAAATAGACTGAGGATGAGGGCAAGGGATGCTCCCTAATTTACCGTTCTTTTACAAATATATACAAAATAACAGCTATAGCTCAACCAACCAACAAGGAAATCAGATTAATTGTATCAACATGTCGGGTCCTCTGTTACAAAGACGAATAATAGTTTGGAGGAATTTCTTATAAGTTGGGGGCGGCTGTGGCTGAGTGGTTGGAGCAGTCGTCCTCCAATGCAAGAGTAGGAGGTTCGAATCCACCAGGAGTCACGTGCCGAAGTGTCCCTGGGCAAAACGCTGAACCCCTCGTTGCCTTCGATGTGTGTCCCATCAGTGTATGAATGTGATCTAAAGCTCTGATTAGTCTCTTTAGAATGATTTGTTCATTTAGCTTTGTAGTTCTAGTAGAGTGCTGTATGAATGGGTAAATGAGGGCACAGATTGTAGTAAAGTGCTTTGAGATAGAATTGTGATATATAAATACCGGTACAGACCATTTACCATTTACTTCTGGAGGCATTCCATCAGATGTTTTCTACTTGGAGCTTAGAAAATGTGATTTCTGTATACAAATGGAATGCTCCATTACTAAGACATAATCTTTTATTCTTGTTACTTCATTCTATGCTACACTAATAACCTCTGGTTTCCCTCTCCCTTGTCAAAAAGCTAAAAAAAAAAACAACCGTTTCCTCTAATTTTGAACTTCTCCTTTAGGCTTTTTAGAGAAAATGTAGTGCGCTGTACAGGTCTGTCGTGGTGAAGAGAGAGCTGAGTCAAAAGGCGAAGCTCTCAATTTACCGATCGATCTACGTTCCCACCCTCATCTATGGTCACGAGCTTTGGGTTGTGACCGAAAGAATGAGATCTCGGATACAAGCGGCCGAAATGAGTTTTCTCCGCAGGGTGTCTGGGCTCTCCCTTAGAGACAGGGTGAGAAGCTCGATCATCCGGGAGGGACTCGGAGTAGAGCCGCTGCTTCTCCACATCGAGAGGAGCCAGTTGAGGTGGCTTGGGCATCTGTTTAGGATGCCTTCTGGACGCCTCCCTGGTGAGGTGTTCCGGACACATCCCACCGGAAGGAGGCCCAGGGGAAGACCCAGGACACGCTGGAGGGACTACGTTTCTCGGCTGGCCTGGGAACGCCTTGGGATTCCCCCGGAAGAGCTGGCCCAAGTGGCTGGGGAGAGGGAAGTCTGGGCCTCCCTACTTAGGCTGCTACCCCCGCGACCCGACCTCGGATAAGCGGAAGAAAATGGATGGATGGATGGATGGACTTCATTATCTTCTTTTTTTTTTTTTAGATGTTTACTACTCTTGCTTAATCTCTTTATTGGTTTTCCTTAACTGCCTGAAAAGCAAGTGAAACTGTTGTAAAAGTTCATGAATAACGTTAAGAGGCGAGCACAAGCCTGAGAATAATGTTGAGCCCAAGCAGCACAGTTCCAGCTTCACTCTGTATTTCTTTAACAATAACTCAAAACATACTAAAAGGTCAGCAGCTTGTCTGCTCCGTTCCTGCATCCATTCTTCCGAACGGTTTGAGCTTGCTGCTGACTGTTGCGTTTGTTGTCAGCTTTCTTACACCCCTGAACCCTAAAACTACTTTATGTGTTGAAGAATGAAACATTGTTGCGCTTAGATTTATGAACGAGACAACTTTGCATGGGATCGAATGCAAGGGGGGGGGAAGGGTCAGCTCGGAAAGTCTTAATGAAAATTTCAATATATGACGCATCCGATCAGTCCAATCATGACATTTTTAATTACCGTAATTTCCGGACTATCGAGCGCACCTGAATATAAGTTGCGCCCACTAAATATAAAAAGAAATAAGTTTTTGTACATGTATAGGCCACACTTGTCTATAAGCTGTGGGCGTAACATGTGATATTAATACAGAAAGTTTTAACTTTTAATTAAATATGTACTATGCCCCCAGGGAGGGGCGCACAACGAGGAGGGGAAGAGAGAACAGGGAGGTGGGGAGCCAAGTTTCATGGTCCACTGTGACCAGTTTGGTAATTTTATTGGTCAGATTTATTTATTTTAACTTTATTTATACAGGTAGTCTCATTGAGTCTGGAGGACCACCCCCCCAAGTGAGATGTATATTGGGCAACTATGTGAGCGACCGGATGTGATGAGGCCAAACGTTTTGGCAGCATGAAGCTCGTTAGCCCGTCAAAAAAATAAAATAAAAATCCATAAATTAGCCACAGCATTGTATAAGCCACAAGGTTCAAAGCGTGTGAAAAAAGTAGCGGCTTATAGTCCGGAAATTACGGTAGTCAGTTTTCAGAGCTATGAGTTAGCAATGTTTTTTTTTTTTGCAAATGTTTACAACAGCAACAAGGTTTCTGGAATGATTAATGTTAAAGGATGAGGCTGTTAGTCCTTTTCTACCCTCATGCTGACCCATAACGCTCGAGAGAAGCTGTACCTCAGGTAGTCTCTGCGGCACAGGATGAGGTTGGCCCGGGTGTACAGGGTGGAGCCCACCCGGCCCAGGCGGCACCCACAGCAGTGGCACTTCAAACAGTCCTCATGCCAGAACCTGTCTAATGCCTGCAGCATGAAGCGGTCCCTGATTTTCTCATCGCAGCCAGCACAGCCTCTAGGCTTCTCTCTGGACTGGAGGGACACGACAGACACACCTGGCAGAAAAGAAACAGAGAAGTGGAAGAAATGAGCAAAAGAGGAAAACTAACATTCACAAAATTATTTACATGAGAAAGTTTCATTTCTCCGCAGCCTTTGTTTGACTTGAACAACAGTTTGGGGAGAATAATTTAAACGCGTTATTCCCTCTTACTGTGCGAGTCTTGTCAGGTCCTGGTCACTGCAACATTATTTTTTCTGTCTGTAGTTGAAGCATGCATAGATATACATGAGACCACTTTAGCACTAGTGCTTTCTAATTCATATTCTTGTGTGAATGTCGAGCAGCACTATTGTTTTCCTAATATTTTATTGTTCAGGTTTTTTTGCCATCTAACCACTTCTGCAAACATTTTGCTGTTGTAGCCATTGATATATTCATCTCATGCAAATGCTTTGACTTTAGCTTTGCATAAATTTTAAATTTCAAACACTTAATTTTATTTACTAAGATTTTCCTTACAGACTTACACTAAGATCTCTTCAGTTACTTCAGAAAAATGGTTCTCCTTGAAACTTGATTCAGCTCACTTTAATTTTGTCGATCTTTTTTTTTGCTACCTTTAGCTAGCCTTTTTTTTTAACTACTTTTAGCTACTGTGCTGCTATTTACGTCTTTGTTATATTTAGTTACAGTTTTGCTAGCTTTGGCATATAGCTGCTATTTTGCTGCTTTTAGCTTTCAATGTGTTTCATTTGGCTTTTAGGTCGTGTTTAGCTACTTGTAGCTTTATTGTAGTCAGATATTTGCTGCTTTTAGCTCCTTAGGTAGCGTTTGATACTTTAGCTTTTGCTACTCTTAGCCACCATTTCCTACTTTTAACTAAAACTTTGCTGCTTTTCGCTAGCTTTTATGTACTTTAGTACTGAGCTAACATTTTGTTACTTTCTGATACGCTTTTGCTACTTTGAGCTTACAGCGTTTTGCTAACTTTTTACTACTTTTAGCGATTGTTCTGCTATTTAGGTCTCTGTTACTTTTAGTTAACCTTTTGCTAGTTTTAGCATATAGCTGCCATTTTGCTGCTTTTAGCTTTCATTGTATTTCATTTAGCTTTTAGATGTTTATTTGCTACTTTTAGCTTATTTGCTAGCTTTTGATAGTTTTTTTTTTTTTTTAGCTTTTGCTACTCTTAACCAACATTTGCTACTTTTAACAACAAAAAAAAAAAGTTACTGCTTTTGGCTAGCTTTTTTCTACTTTAGCTTTGAGTTAACAGTTTGTTAATTTCTGGTACTTTTGGGCTATTTTGAGCTAATCCTTACTGCATTTTGCTAACTTTTATCTACTTTTAGCTATTGTTCTGCTACATAGGTCTCTGCTACTTTAAGTTACACTTTTGCTAGTTTTAGCATATAGCTGCTATTTTGCTGTTTTTAGCTTTCATTGTGTTTCATTTGGCTTTTAGATTGTCTTTAACTACTTTTAGCTTTATTGTAGTCAGATTTTTGCTACTTTTAGCTCCTTAGCTAGCTTTTGATAATTTTTTCTACTTTAGCTACTCTTAGCCACCATTTGCTACTTTTAACTAAAACTTTGCTGCTTTTCGCTAAATTTTTTTGCACTTTAGCTTTGAGCTAACATTTTGTTACTTTCTGATACTCTTTTGCTACTTTGAGCTAACCATTACTGCATTTTGCTAACTTTTAATTTTAGCTATTGTTCTGCTATTTGCCCCGAGATGACTTCTGTTGTGGACTGGCACTATATAAATAAACTGAACTGAATTGAAATTAGGTCTCTGCTACTTTTAGTTAAGTTTGCTAGTTTTAGCATATAGCTGCCATTTAGCTTTTAGCTTTCATTGTATTTCATAAAGGTTGAATGAATTTAGCTTTAAGATTTTTGCTACTATTGTAGTCAGATTTTTGCTACTTTTAGCTAATTAGCAAGCTTTTGATACTTTTTTCTACTTTAGCTTTTGCTACTGTTAGCCAGCATCTACTTGAACTAAAACTTTGTTGTTGTTGTTCACTAGCTTTTATCTACTTTAGCTTTGAGCATTTTGTTACTTTCAGATACTCTTGCTACTTTGAACCATTAATGTTTTGCTAACTTTTTACTATTTTTAGCTATTGTTCTGATATTCAAGTCTGATATTTTTAGTTAAACTTTAATAGTTTTAGCTACCATTTTGCTGCATTTAGCTTTCATTGTTTCATTTAGCTTTTAGATAGTCTTTTGCTACTTTTAGCTATATTGTTGTCAACTTTTTTGCTACTTTTAGCTATTGTTCTGATATTTAAGCCTGATATTTTTAGTTAAACTTTAATAGTTTTAGCTACCATTTTGCTGCATTTAGCTTTCATTGTTTCATTTAGCTTTTAGATAGTCTTTTGCTACTTTTAGCTATATTGTTGTCAACTTTTTTGCTACTTTTAGCTTCCTAACTAGCTTTTTCAACTTTAGCTTGTGCTACTCTGAGCCAACATTTACTTAAACTAAAATGTTGTTGTTGTTGTTGAGTAGCTTTTATCTACTTTAGCTTTGAGCTAACATTTTGTTACTTTCTGATAGCTACATTGAGCTACTGCTTTTAGTTAACTTTTTGCTTTAACAACAATTTCAGCTTCTTCAGCATATTTCAGCAGTCTTTCAGCTCAGCATGCACACACTGCGTTTTTGCATAAAATGTTAATTCTTTGGTTGTTTGGTTGAGCATGCATCAGGACATTCTTTGGTTGTTCTTTCATGCTCAGTTGATTTCCTATTCGTTGAATATGCGACAAATCAAATGAATCCCTGCAAACTTGTTGCAGATGGTGAATGTGGCGCAGCACGGTCTTATGAAACAGAAGTGATCTCTCTCCTGCACTTACTTTCCTCCTTGTCCAGCACCATCCTGCAGGACCAAGCCTCGCTCCTTCCTTCTCCTGCACAACAACCCCCTCAGGAAGCCGCAACGAGCACGCGCGGTCTCCAGATTACGGTGGTCGGTCGGGAGTCGCTCAAACTTCGGATCTGCTCCTCATTTCGCAGAAGAAACCCAAACGCCTCGCAGTAAAAACAGCTGCATGAATGAAGCTGCACGATGCACGTCCTCGAGTGGAGTCCGTGCTGCCTCGACTGATGTCAGTGTTTAAGTATGTGCGTCGAGCCTCCCTCCCTCCTGCGCTTCTCCCTCTGCAGGAGAGAGAGGAAACTCTCTCATAATCACCCCCCCCCCTCGCTGCGTGCTAATTATATAAAGTCATTATGCTCAGATAGAAGCCGCCCCTCCCCTCCTGGAATCAATTATTCAATAGTCAGAGACACACCGGGACATCCCGGGCCTGAGGTGTTTTAGAATGAGCTTATTCAACTCCAAGGACACCAATTATCTCCGGGGGCGCCCTGTAGTCACAGCAGACGCACAGCTCCCTCAGCTGTTTTTTTTTTTTTTAAACTCATCAATATGAGCGCAGGGAAGATTCTGATTCATCCGGGACGAAAGTTCAAGACAAAACCAACTGGACCCCTCGAGTTATGAAGCTGAGGTAAGATGGATTCATGTGCAGATTGCCCGATCACTCCTCAAAACAGAGGTTCGTTAGGGCCCTGTCACGATAACTCATTTTGCTGGGCGATTAATTGTCTCAGAAATTATTGTGATAAACGATAATATTGTTTGAAATTTGACAATAATTAGTCATTATTGTGGGCAGCACGGTGGCGCAACTGGTAGAGCTGCTGCCTCTCAGTTGGTTCAAACCCCGGTCCAGGGACCCTCTGGGTGGAGTTTGCATGTTCTCTCCGTGCATGCGTGGGTTTTCTCCGGGTGCTCCGGTTTCCTCCCACAGACCAAAAACATGCATGTTAGGCTGATTGGTAACTCTAAATTGTCCCTAGGTGTGAGTGAGAGAGTGAATGGTTGTTTGTCTCATTTGTCTCTATATGTCCCTGTGATGGACTTGCGACCTGTCCAGGGTGTACCCCGCCCCTCGCACAGTGATTGCTGGACATGGGCACCAGCGACCCCCGTGACCCAAAAAGGAATAAGCGGGTAAAGATAATGGATGGATGGATAGTCATTATTGTCAAATTTAAGAAGATTTTTTGTTTGTTTTGCTTGTAATATCTTTTTCGACCACTGGAAAGCAGTATAAGATGTTTGAACCGGAGGACGAATAGTGAGGGAGCGAGCAGCGTGTCTCTTTAAGAAGGTTAGGAAGACGGTTAAAATGGATTTTGGATTTAAAATGGATAAAGAGAAAGGGAGGGGTCAGTGAAGAGCACCGCAGTTGAGCTTTTTGTCATCCAGTGTCTTCAGTAGAAAGAGACACCAAGAAACGATAAAGCCGATAAATGAAAAGGAGGTTGATAATTTTCATTTATCATGCGATTAATTGATTTATTGTTTATTGCGACAAGCCAAGTTTTGAGTTCACAGATGAGCCGCACTGGTCACATGGATGAAATTCCTGATAGGTGTTATAATGACTGAGTATCAGGCCTAAAGCTGCTTTATCCACCTTATTCCTGGGGGCTCTACTGTAGAAATGATAATGGGTACAACTTCCTGTCAGACACCGGAAGTGGCAGTGAGCGTTGGTTAACCATGGGAGCGGAGCACGGACCGCGGTTTATTTGAAAGTTATTTGCATTCAGTTTAGCAGATAAAACGCTGTTTTTTTTTTGTTTACATTTATTTAACAAACATAAAGTTTACTAAAATAGCCGTGCTGACTTCAGGTACTTGTTGTGTTTGCGGCTGCACGAACAGAGTTTTGAACACGGACTCAAACAAAACAAAAAAAGAGTGTTCCTGTGAAAAGTGGTATAATTTCCATCTCCTACCTACAGATGAGGAATTAAGAATAATGTGGCTGAAAAATGTGAACTTGAAGAGACCACCCAAAACGCTGTCTGTGTGCTAATTTTACTTGTTGACAAATGGCCGACGGAGGAAAACCTGCATCCTACCTTGTGTCTGGATTACAGCATCGGAGAAGAGACGCCGGATCCTCAGAAGGAGAACATCAGGTATGATTTCAAGTGGGCACAGCATTATAGTATTTGTTCATCTTCAGTTTTATGATTTTCTCTGCAATTAACCCAAGCTCGGTGATGGAGGACTTTAAGGCTTTGGCTGGGCTTAAATGCGACCGACGTTATTACTGTGTAAATACTAATACGCCTCAGAGCTTTTCAGATTGTTCATCTCTTCACAGTCAGAAGAACCGAGTTAAATGACATAGCTAAATATGCTAGTAGATGTAATCTGCAGACCAGTTTTGGTCTGTGCCGGAAATCGCACACATGATTCGTGCAAAGCATCATGGGGCCTAGGAATAAGGTCAGTAGGGTTTAGAAAGTTGAAATCTGAAACCTCCTCCTCAGTTTAAAGATGGATTCCTTCACCCCCCTCTCAAACCATCTGTCATCTCGAGTGAGTGACTCGAGATGAGTGCAGGAATATCCAGGATAAGAGCACTACAGAATTCAACTGAAGTCCTGTTTTTGTTTTCTTAGAGGTTGACTCAAAAAGAAAAGTTAAGTCAGGTCATCCAGAAAGATTCTTCTTGGTTGAAACGTTTCGTCTTTCGTCCGAAAGACTTCACCAGTCTGAGGCCATCCCTCCGACTCCTACAGCAATAATGTAAGCCTATTTACAAAATAGAAAATACTTGAAAATGTAGCTTGGCTACTCAGGTAACCTCACTGCAGGTGCATCTATTAGTAGGTCAAAGCGATACTTTCAAATTCATCCTTAACTCCGTTTTGCTGCACACATTAAAGTAGAAATTTATTGATGAATTACAAAAGACATCAGAGATCATATTGCATAGATGTATCTGATTTTTAAAATAATGTATTTTCATGGGGTGGTTGTGAATAATTATTATGCTACCTGTTGTACATAGCAGCAACACGGTGGGGCAGTTGGTAGAGCTGTTGCGTCTCAGCGAGAAGGTCGCCAAATCAAATCCCAGCCGGGGGTCTTTCTGGGTGGAGTCTGCATGTTCTCTCTGTGCATGCTAGGGTTTCCTCCGTGTACTCCGGTTTGATCCCACAGACCAAAAACATGCACGTTAGGCTGATTGGTAACTCTAAATTGTCTCTAGGTGTGAGTGAGAGAGTGAATATTTGTCTCGATGTGTCCCTGTGATGGACTCGCAACCTGTCCAGAGTGTCCCCTCTTGCACAGCGATAGCTGAATATGGGCACCAGTGACCCCCACGACCCAAAAAAGAAGAAGGGGGTAAAAATAATAGATGATGGATGGATGTTGTAAATAGCTTTTTGAATGTCCTCTGTTTAGAGAAATAGTTTAATTCTGACCAGAGTGATGAGCTAATGGCTGGTCGGAGCAGGGCCACTACAGTAATCCTTCTTGCTTTTAGCCTAGTCTGAAGTATCCTAATCACTATTACTCCTAATTGGGGTCATTCAATTAACTCCCAAGTCAAGAAATACTTGGATTCTTTTAGCATCTTACCTCTGATGTTCATTAGAAATAATGTTTCTAATGCTCATTAGAAACTGAAGATATCGTTTCTCAAAAAAAATGTATTTTGCCTGTCACCTTGCATGCCAAAGTTGTGATCTGTTAGAGTTTGTGTTTGGGATCACCCACGGCTACTACCACACAAACTTTAGCTCAGTTTCTATAAATTTGCTGAGTTAACGCTGTTTTGGTGTTTATTATGGCCAATTAGCTGTGAGGTCAACCTGAAGTGTGCTGACCCCAAGCTGCAGATGTACATCCAATTATAACTTTCTGGACATTTCATTAAAATCCATCCTATGGTTGATGAGGTAATTTACTAAAGACAAAAATTAAAAAACGCAAACAAATCAATCACTTGGTCCCCCACCTTTCATGGTGGAGGGCAATGACAAAGAATTGTTTCTTGATCTTACTACAAAATGTAAACTTAGAAGTGCTTATTAGGTTTGACAATATGTCTGAAAAACAAATTTTGCCTGGCTGTAAAAATGTAAAATAACAGGAAGTGATTTTTTTTATTTTTCACAGTCAAGTCGTTGTGGCAGTATTTTGGTCAAAAAATAAAAATAAGCCTGCAAATCCAATCCCAGACCTATAAGTCACTATACTGATCATTTATTAATATGAAAATCTCAAGGCATGGCCAGAGAACAGTTTAAGTTCATAGGGAACACTGCAGACACGGTATAAATTCACGTTGATAGATTCTTGGGGCATTACAGTGATTTCTCAGAGGTTTTTTTCCAAAGCCTGTACTCACCACAATCCATAAACAACACTGCCTGCTTCCTAATACATCATCCGGCCATAAATCCTTCTCATTAGGCACTGTGGCATAAACAACTCTTCTAACATGGCCCCTGGATCAGGTCACACTAATTAACCAGCACCATCGACTGACTATTCCTCATTATCCGCCCTCTCCTCTGATAGCATATAGGCCGCCAAGACAGCTAACGATCAACAGACTAATTAATCAGCCATAAGGTGCAAGTGAAGCCCTGGGTTCCTTCTTCATTTGTGAGACACATGGGAGCTAATTAGTTCAATTATTAATGTGTCTAATTAAATATTTTTCTGTGGGTAATCGTGACTGCAGTCTTGTCTTCCACTAGTTGTGGTGATAAATAGATGTGTGGTACTTTTGAGCCCTTTTTTGCCCTTTAATATGACACAGTATCTTCAATGCAACGACTGGCCAGGACTTAACATTACAAACTATTCATGGGCTCAGATCCCATTAGACTAATTGCACTAAAAGCAGTCTGCAGATGACAGTAAAGGTGAGCTGTGGTTAGGGCTCTAATTAGCAGTCTGTGGAAATAGGAAGCCTCTTTTGCCATCTGCCTCAGATTGCCGTCGTGTCTTCTGTGTGAAAAGGGCAAAGACAAATTTAGGCATGTTTTGTAAAAGAGCCGTTTGTTAGATATAATGCCAA